TACATCAACAAGTACATTAACAACAATAGAAGCTTTCTATACAATGAGTTATATGGATATAATTGATTCTCTTAACATATAAGATATTTACAAAGCATTACTATGCACCTTTTAAACCCTTTTTAAAAAGTTAAATTTTAATTGTTTATTGAGAAATATTTATAGTCTACGAAATAATCTTAAAAATAAGGTCGGTTTTCAGTTCTATAAAAAAATATTGTGTGTTAAACATAAGAGAAAAACAAATAAGTATAACGCAGATAACTTGATGGAATATAAGAAAATAATATATATTGAATGTACACTGATTTTTGAATTAATTGACCTATTTTGAAGTCATAAAAGGACATTTAAGGCAGTGGTAGCCCAGTGGTAACGCGCTCGCTTGGGAAACCGAGTAATGCGGGTTCAAATCCCGGGTCTCGCACCTCTGATATTTACATGTGCGAATCATTTCTAGCATGATTACCACTTGCCTTACGGTGAAGGAAAACATCGTGAGGAAACCTGCATGTCTGAGAGAACTTAGCAAGTTTTCTAAAGATATGTGAAGTCCGCCAACCCGCAATTGGCCAGCGTGGTGGACTATGGCCTGATCCCCCCTCGTGCTGAAGGGAGGCCCGTGCCCAGCAGTGGGACGATAAAAAGGGCTGAATACAAGAGGACATTTTATCATATTTTTCAAAAATATTGGCATGTGTCACGTACTGCTGTATATAAGCGACGAGAGTGACGCTGGTTAAGTGAGCTGACTCATCTGAAATCCACTTACACAATTTCGAAAAATTTAATTACAGCAAGGAAAATCTAACATACATATTATGGGGCATTTCACGTGAAGCGGACAACGAAAAGTCGTGAAAATTGATCATTCTCTGGCCAGTTATAGTTCCAGTGGACATAGATATGCAAATTACATTATTTTTTTCGTATGATGCTTTATTGCCGAGTTATGAGCTTTTAAAAATTTACGAAGTATGAAATCCGTACTTTTTGGATGCTTATTATTTGTATCAATCAATTTGTAAAAATATCTAAAAAATATCGTTTCTGAAAGTTAAAAGGATGCAGTTTTTAATTTTTTTATCGAATTACAAATTTGTTTCTTTTTACGTATAGTAAACCGGATGTGAAGATTTCAAATGGATGTTTGAGTAACTTCGACATAATTTTTTTTTTCAATATTTTAACTTTGAATTAAAGCTTTGAATATCTTAATTCTTCACAAAAAAAATTATAACGTGATCGTCAATAGTTTAGGACTTAGAGCATATTGAGTACATACACATCGCACTGCGCGCCACATCCAGTACTTTTTTAGTTGAGTCTGTCGCCTTCAGAACACACTATACCTGTCTACTCAATTTTTTTTTGTATAATGATATTAAGGAATTAAATATAACTGCTAACAAATATGATTACCATTAATTTATTTCTTTTCTTTTTATACGAGTAGTAAGTATTGCAATTTTTAAATACAATTTTTCGTTAAAAAATCTCACTACAATTATTTAACAAATTTCGAGTGTGAAATAAGAGAGTACGTATAAATCGCAACTATATATAATAATATACTGCTAAAAGTAGTTAAAACATACGTAACGAGTAAGTAAATATATGGAACAGGTACGGTTCTATTGATTGAGATTGAAATTGAATTAATTATAATAGAATCGATAGTATATAAATATTCCTCAATTCGCAAAAGTTTAAGCAAATACACGTTATTTTCAAACCTACCCATTTATAATATTTATTATCAGACTAGTAAAAGCTAACAGATTTATTTTAACATAAAATATAAAATTACAATGTTATTTCAATATCTTAATACGTGGCAAAAAACTTTTTTTACAATTTATACCGTCAGTCTAGATATTCCCTGTTTTCACCTACTATGTGTTACGGTTAAAGTGTGAAATTTATAATTATTACAATTTAACAAAATGTTTAACTTACTTAAACATATTTTTTTTTCATTTTTATTATATTGTGCAATTAATAATAATACAAATGTATGGTCACAACTCTCTGTTTGTAAAAGTAATGATAAATTAATAAGAAAATATCTCAATTAAATTAAAACAAATCAATAATTAAATAAGGCATATTAGACAAATTACAATAATATATTTATAAAATATAATTTAAGGAAAGAATATATTATATATTTGTCAGACAATAACAACGATTACCATGGCAACATGGCAATGTATTCTATCTTATTCTCTCGCTGCTTTAATCCTTTATATTTATGTGTTTGTCTCTTTCTCGAGTCGCATTTCCGTTTCATCGGGTTTCATGTACCATGGCAACAAAAAGTTATCAGCTAACTTCATCATGTCGCTTTTTGGCTGTCCGTGTGCGCGAGCATCGTAAAAATTTTACTCTCATAATTTTTTCCAAACGTCCCAAAAGAAGTATAACTTCAAAAATATGTTAGTCTAATTAAATTATTATTTTTTGTGTAAGTCATGCTCATTTATTTACTGACCACGGCTAACCTTTATTAGCACTTGTGCAACATATAATTTTATTATAACTACTATTCCTAAAATGATTTCATTAAAATATACAAGGCGAGAGTTTCATAGATTCTTTTGCTTATTAAAATTGAAAAAAAAAATTAATCTACAATTTCTCATCTCATCATCATCGGTGATGAAGTATAGTTTCAGAAAAAAACAATATAATAGCACAAATATTAATAGAAACTTATTAAATGTTAATAAATAAAAATAGCTAATGGATTATATTATAATAAAGAAAAAAAATTAAATTAGCAAATATTAATATTTTTCTTTCAAGGAGACGAGAAGTAATACTTAAAAAATACAAAAGAATATATTTAGTAATAATTTCATTATTCATATTTCCTCTTATTCTTTAAATAAAACAAACGATCCGTATGGCAACTTCGAGACTAGTAGCATAAACAGTAAAATTACTTCTACTTTTGACTTCGAAGTTTTATTGGTGGGCTCCGATTATACTATTCGTTTAGTCGGAGGCTATAATATACAAATACAACCAATATTAAAACGCCTGAAAGAAATTTCCTCAGTTTCAAACATAATTAAATTAACATTCATTTACGTACATAAACATAAAATCTTCTAAACAAAAACTGAAAATATTCTAAACGAAAACTAGCCATAACGAGACAAGTCGGATTAGACGGATAATCCCTATGCAATGAGTCGGAATTTAACCGTAACACATACCTTATACACTTTCCAATGAATACTATATAGAGAAATTAACATGAACCTTAGTATGAACCTTTGACGGTAAATTATAATGAATATGAATTGCTGCTTTTGGTTTTTTTCAATATTGCCCATTTTTAGGATTCCGTAGCCAAAAGGCAAAAACGGAACCTTTATAATTTCGTCATGTATGTATGTATGTCACAGCCTACTATATATTGATACTATATGTTGGAATAGTAAACATAACATATTTAATTGTTATTTTCTGAATGAACAGTTTCAACCTCTTTGTTTAACTTGTGCCGGTTGTGTCCTACTTTTTTTTTCTCTTTAAAATTGTCTTAGCCAATGTCACTGAAAAAAGTATTACCGAGCAATAAACATTGTCAAATTTTCTGTTTTATTATAATTGATTTTCTACACTAAAGAGTTAAAATTGTCTTATTTGAACCGCTAGACAATGTATTCAAATTACGAAAAACAAAAAGAGTTGGCTCTACATATGAATGATTGGGGTAAAAAAATATTGAGTCCTCATAAGCTTGTGGCGTATTCTTGTAATATATGCCTTAAGAGTGAGAAATATCAAATACTACGAAATACAAATGTATTTATGAACTCAATAAAATCGATATTGTAGATGAGTAAATCTTGTATTTTACTTTAAAAAAAAATTACAAACGTTAAGTTAAACCATAACATTTAATATATGATGCTACGGAACATGCAGGGCACGAATGACGCTCGCACTTGTCAGTTTTTTTTAATTAGTTTTAAAAATTACTAATAGTTCAAGGAATTTATTTAGGTACGTAGATAACAGCATTAATATTTAATGCTACGGAACATTCGGGACGCAAATGAGTATCACTCGTCAGATCTTTTTTAGTTTTGAAATTACCAATGACTTAAGGATTTTTTTCTTTCAAAATCATACTAAGGTTCTGTTATAGTTAATAAATATTAAAAAAAAAACTTTGACATCATATAAATAAGTGTATAATAATATAAATGTTTAATTATGAGAAATATAAACAATAAGTAATCTATTAAAAAGTTGTCATTTATATAATATCATATAATGTGTGATAAATTAATTATCTGTATAATAGTCTTTTTGACGTTTCGTGTCTTTTCATACGTTCCTCCTGCTATCGGCTTGTCCTTGAAGAATTTCAAAAGAAATTTACAATACACTACATATAAATAACATATAATATAATAACATACAACATACAATAATATATAACATACAATATATATAAAAAATATATTTAACAGCTAGAAAAGTCGGTATTTCTGTAATCATATAATCCAATTACAACTATCGAAATCCATCGAAGATTCAAAGGAAAGAAGGTTTTCATTGAAAATTGCGTATTTCATATTTTTTCAAATCTTCTCTTCTAATTTTGACCGACTTCAATTTCAAAATCAAACGACGTTTTCAATTTAGTTAAATTTTTTTTTTCAAGTATGATATTTCACCAATTTCAAGAAAAAAAAATCATCTCTAAGAGTGTAAAAATTACATTAAAAGTGATTTTGAAATATGTAGCTTTTTAGATAAAACTTTATGGATTACAAAAAAAATATTAAATTATTTAACATAAAATTATTAATACTCTCTTATATTTACGTGAATATTTGACATTTTAAATAAAAACTATCTTTTCGGATTATTTCACGTATTTACAGCAATCATCAGAGAAAATAAATCCGCGAAAAAATCCAAAAAAAGTTTTATTTAAATAAAATAAAATTAAAATAAAACTCACCTCCACATCAAACCAGTGACCTAGGCGTGAACACGTGCACCAACGAGTCCCACCCGCAGTCAGCCAGCTGGTGGGGCCTGAGCGTGTTCCAGTCGAGCCCGTAAGTAAATTCTGAATGGTGTCGTATCGTTTCCAGTGGATCACAACCCCTTTTTAAATCCCATATCCTGGAAAATTGATCTTGTTGATGGTCATTCATGATATATAGCCGTCAAGATATATTAGTTGATATAAAACTGCTTTCTTCTGAAGGCGTGGCGTGAAAGTAGATAGATGTTAGATAAAAATTCTTCAAATCGTACGATAGTTATAAATATAAATATGTTGGGACATTAACACACATCACCATCTAATTCCATGGAGTACTGTTACTACGAGGCCTGTGTTATGGTTACCAGATAGTTGATACACATATATAACTTTAAATACATATATATTATAAATATAAACCATGACTGGAGTACAAACATTCGTGCTGATCACACAAATGAATATTCCAGCGGGACTCGAACCCGCGACCGCTGGCACAGCAAGTAGGGACACTACAAACTGAGCCAAACAAACGTGTCGTCGTCGTCGTTCAAAAGATTAGCGCTGTTAAACAAAAAGCACTTAAGAGGATTGTGAACCTGTAAATTTTCATACAAAAAGCGATAACGTTTTTCCCCCCTTAAACATAGTCTAATTTTCATAATTTTTGTAAATGTTGTAGATATAATCAAAATCTAGGTCCGTACGTTTTTATTTTTTTGAAATATTGCGTACGACAGAAGTTATTAGCATCTAAATATCTATATTTTTGACCTAAAAACTTCCTCCAGCGTTTTTATTTTTTTTAATTAAACTAAACTGAATTACAAAAAAAGGAAAACGTACAGACCTAGATTAAGGTGTACTGAATCTAATGAGACCAAAATCGTCTCATTTCGTTAATGTTTAGGGGGGTGAAAACGTTATCGCCCGAAACAATATTTCAAAAAGGAAATGTAGGTAATTGAGTCTAAGACTTGCAACTCTCTCTATCGCACCATACGGGTCGGGGGCAGGGGCATATTTTAGACTGTAGTGATGTTGAAGGTGCTATCGATATTATTATCATCTAGGGAGGAGAAGGTAATATCGATATATCGATCGATACTGAAAGGATTCAATCCAAAGTTTAGAATTTTATTATATTCGTATGTATAGATTGTAACTAAGCCGTATCTGTACATTAAATATTTTTTGGAAAATATTATTGAAATAAACATTATTATCGATACAGAGGCCGAATCTATAGTTTTTTGAATTTTTGTCTGTCTGTCTGTATGTCTGTCTGTCTGTTACCACGTCACAGAAAAACCACTGGAGGGATTTTGATGAAATTTGGTATGGTGGTAGCTGGTTATCCGGATCAACATATTATAGCATTACCGCGGGAAAATATCTCATTTCTGAGAAAAAATACAAAACTGAAAATATATATATATAAATATATATAAGTATATATACAGGGTCATTTTTAATTTACTGAAGACCTTTTGGGAATATACTATTTACATCATAACAACAACCTCTGTAACAAGAAAAAAAAATATTTCTTAAATTTTCATTTTCATACAAAAATAAAAATATTTTCTATATCATCATCATCATTATATCTGGCCAAGTTTGAATGAGTAAGGACCACTTCCTACACCCCTCCACCCCTCGCCCTCCACCCCTCGCCCTCCACCCCTCGCCCTCCACCGGTCACGCGCTTTCTTTTGCTAATTGCTGGACTATTACCGTTTAGAAGGAGCTATAAAAATACTTTTATTTTTGTAAAATTTATATTTTTAATTCTATATTCGTTATAATTTATAATATTCGTTATAATTTTATGAAAATTATTACGAATAGTATGTGTATAATTATATATATATACACATACTATTCGTTATAATTTTTTCGAAATTATCGATATTTTATTAGTTTTTGGAGTTAATTTTATTGATTTTTCTGAAAAAAATGATTTTAGGGCAATTACAGAAAGAAATGAAAATCATTCGTAATCTAATCTTGTTTATTCATTAGTTAAAAATATATTTTAAAAAATTAAGTTGATATATTTTATAAAATTTAGTCATAGATATGTTAAAAAATCGTAAATCATCATCATTCATGATCAGGTCATTTTATGAATTTCTATTCCTTATATACCTGCTAACATTATAAAATCATAAAACTTCAGGTTTTCAATAAAATAATTATTTTAACAATAAAAGGATTCCGATGGGTCTATTAGTACCTACATAAACAACAAAAAATTCTATAACTTTCAACTTTTGGAACGAGATTTTTGTAATTGATCTAAACCACCTATTTATTTTTTTATGATTTTTTGAAGTCATCAATCTAAACAAGTCAAATTTTAAATGATATTCGCCACAGAATTGTAATTTAGAGTTATTTCAGTTTATGAATAAAGGTGCGATGTAACTTGTAGGGAATGTATATTGTACGCAAACCGTTAAAATAATAAATATTAGATAAACTTTGAAATTGCTCTTGCGCCGAGTCGCGCCGCCCCCGCCCCCGCCCCCCGCAAGCGCCCGCGCGTCACCGGCTGCTGCTATCATAGTGTGTGTGAGAATTTGCGTATGTTGTATTTGTGTTGTTCACTGCCGGGGGGATGCAAAGCGGTATGAAACAGATAGCATTTTTAAAAATACCTACTCTCGCCGCGTATCGGCACTTCACAATCCTCTTAACAACATAATATTAGTATATATTAGTCCCAAGGCCTTAGTCTTAGTGCTAATAATATAGAGATTCATGGAACTAAAGACGAAATAATGTTTTAAAATAATAAATAATGTTATAAAATAGTATACAAATGGCAATTTGTATACCGAGTGAATATAATAAATTAAAAAAAAATAAGCTAATATTATGCTATCTCGCTTTCAACGGAAAAAGAACTAACGCTTAAAAAATACAAAAAAAATATAGTATTATTTTTGTTATTCATATTTTATTCTTAAAAATTGTATATTAATTAACTAATAAATATATAGAATTTCCTTTATTTTTTAAAGAAACAAAAAAGTAGCATAAACACCAAATCACGCTACTATTTTTTAATCTGACATATATTTTGGGGGACTTCGTCTATATTATGTACAGATCCAATGAAGGCCCAGCAGTGGGACTTTAAAAAAAGGGCCTAAATATAATATATCAAACAATACAAATTGTAAGCATTCTTGTGTACTTGACTTCCATTTTGCTAAGGCCTCCTTAATATTCCAAGGACACTAATTAATATTCGGAAATCAAAAGTCTATATCACTCTTTGGCTTAAGTTTACTATAACCAATCCATTACCATTCCTCTGAACAAATAAATAAATTGAAGTGTCTGTTTGTATTATCAAAATAACATTTTTTACTAGATGCATTTGAAAATACGGTACTTATAAGAAAAAAAAATGATGTTTAAAATTCTTATCTATCTGTTTGTTCCGGCTAATCTCCGAAACAGCTGGACTGATTTTGAGGGGACTTTCACTGGCAGATAGCTCATGTTATGAAAAGTAATTTAGGGTATTTTTATTTTAGAATAAGGATTATGGTTCCGCGCAAAATAATTAAAACCCGCAACAGAATGAACGGAGGTTAAGTCGCTAGTTATTACATAAAACACGCAATGGATCTTAATTCTTCTTACATTATATCGTACTAGCGACGCTTGATTCCCCGTACAAGCTTTCATTCCCATTTTCATCCCCTTTACGGATGATTTCCGAGATAAAAATTATCCTATTTCTTCCCAAGGTCTCAAACTATCTTCTTACCAAATTTCATTTAAATGGGTTCAGTAGATTCAGAGATTACCCCCTACAACGTCACAAACTCACATATAATATTATTATAGATAGATATGCCACGGATTTCACCATAAAAACATTTCACCTTCATATTGAAGGGATAGCTTCAGACTATGAAATGAAATCAATTTCAAATTAATTAATTAATTAATTTTTAGGATACCAGTATGTCAGTTTACTCGGACGGATCTATCTAATGATATTTAAATAGCTTAGTATCATAATGCTTTCTTAGCATTACACCAATATTCGACATTTTAAATGAAGCTATAGGAGAGGGTAAAAATGGGGATGAAAGTCACAAAAGCAACCTAGTGACGAACCTGAGTGAAGCGAGGGTAATTCGCTAGTTTAAAATAAAATGGGCCAACTATATTTGCAAATATATAAAAAAATATAAATTTGTAATATAAAATCAATAACTTACCTAGTAGTAAAGTCATATGATACAGCCGCTACAACAGATGGCGCGTGAGGAGAAAACTGCACTCTTCGCACTGCGCATTCACAACCTAATACAAAAACAATCAAAATAGTGCAAATTATTATTTTTAATAATTCAACAAAACTATACTAACTATTCTCAAGAATACCCTAAAGAAACTTACAAGCATTAAAGTAGTAAAATTTAAAAAAATAACAAAATAAACCAACCACCAAATAAAAAATAAATGAAAAAAACTGGCTGTATAACCCACGAGCATTGCACATTAAATTTAAGCAAGGCAAAAAAATAATACTTTCTTACTTAAAAAAAAAACATACCCTTCAATGTGAACATGGGGGATGTTAACCGTCTAAGATCCCAGCCCCTAACGAGCCCGTCTGAGCCGGCCGTCGCTAACGCATGCGTTTCCAATCTACTCCAATCACATGATAACACCTATTTGAAAATACACCCTATTGTAATTACATAAAGTTTAATATCGTTTGCATTTTTCAACCACAAAAAAATGGTACATACCAGTGGCGAAGCGTCCATACAAGATGTCTTACCTTTAAATTATTTTGCTATAATTTTACATAAATTTAATTTTTTAAATGTATAAATTTTCTTTTGGAAATATATATATAATAATAGCTTTATTTCTTTCTGCATTACTACATATATAAAAATTGTATATTTTTGGAATGGCTTATCTCTGCTAAAATTTCACGCTTCGCCACTGGTACATACAATATAAATATATTGGTACATACAATATATATATATGATTTTCGCCAATGTGGATAGACTTAAAGTTTTTTTATACAATACTTAAGAAGAAAAACATTGAATTGGATTTATTACTCTTAAATTTTTATTAAAATCTGATTATTTTTTTTGTCTTAAAAATTAGTAGCGACTCACCCTCACTCCGCTCGTATTCGTCACTAGTTACGTTTTAACGTTTAGTATAGATTTCTCAGAGACGAGATATTTTCCCGCAGTAATAAGTATCCTATATGTTGACCCGAATAACCAGCTACCATCATACCAAATTTCATCAAAATCGGTCCAGTGGTTTTCGCGTGATGCAGTCACAGACAGACAGACAAAAACTCTAAAAACTATAGATTCGGCCTCTGTATCGATAATAATGTCTATTTCAATAAGATTTTCCAAAAAATATTTAATGTACAGATTCGGCTTAGTTACAATTTTATTATATGTATAGATTATTAAACCAATAATTAAACATACCATTTTGCATTTCGCCGGTGAATACAAATGTTTTTCTATCTGCTTTTATACTAATATATTAGATGTCATTTGTTTATTTTTGGAACACACAATTTTCAACTTTAAACCCTTAGTAGAAAGTTGAAATTACCTCAGCATCATGGGCCTTTATAACTGCTGCGGGTCTAGAAGGTTCTGTACACGTCCACAGTTTCAGATGACCATCCCCTGACACCGAAGCGAATGTAGCTGGCGAGTGTGGCGAGAATGTGGCTGTGTAGACCAGTTGAGAGTGACCCGCAAATGTACTGAGGCACACTTCAGACTCGGGGTCCCACTAAAATTGATGATTATAGTTATATTAGGATTTATAAATAAATTTTCATGATTTTGAATGATCTAAAAGCTTTTTTTATATTACATAAATTAAAAAATAAAGTTCTTTATTCTTACAGCTGTACATAACCCCCTCTTAACATTGGACAAAATTTTAAAAGTGGTCAATCAGTGCACTATGTAAATCTAACAATGTTTATAAAACCTTTTGAATAAAATTTGCTCAGTTGTTTTCACTTAAAGGCTAGAAATGAGGGATTTGAACCCAATGTAAAATTAACTATTACAAGAATTTTTACCAAACATTGAAGTAATACACTAATTGCAAAGTACTGTTTTCAAAGTATTTAATAGATAAACAAAGCACCTTACCAATTTAACTGTAGTATCCCAACTGGCACTCAATAAGTGAGCCCTTGGCCAGTCCACAGAGCATACTTCGCTATGATGAGCTCTTAACACTCTTAAGGGCGCTGAACAACCACCTCTCCAAATAATAACAGCCCCATCACCTGACCCACATGCTGCCACACCATCAGCAGTACCTGACCATGTCTAAAAATTAAAATTTACACATAATTATGAACCATACTTCAAGAAGAAAAATACAGTTGTGAAATAAAATCCATACTAATATTATAAAGAGGCAGAGTTTGTTTGTTTGTTTGAACGTGCTAATCTCAGGAACTACTAATCTGACTTGAAAAATTGTTTTTGCATTAGATAGCCCATTTATTGAGGAAGACTATAGGCTTATATATCATCATGCTACTACCCAAATGAACGGAGTAGTTATCATAAATGTCAACAACTTGGGCAGACTACCATATGTAAAGGGTTTGTTTTTTTTTGTACTTTGAAGACGGGGAAAGCCGCGGGTTCTGCTAGTAAATGAATAATCTGAAAAGTAACAATCGAATGGTGAGTGCACTTCTAAGACAAAATAACAATCTAAAACTAACTAACTAAAACAAACAAAGATATTAGATCTTGTGTGCTTGAATTTTGTGGTTTCTACAAAACAATAGTAATAATATATTTTTTGTATATAATGGCTGACTTATATTAAACAAGTACAATTCATATAAAACAGTATGCAGAATGTCCTGAAAATATTATTACAAAGAAAGAATTTCTATCTCAAATGATACACAAAAAATACTTTAAAAGAATATTAAAAAAATAAAAGAATTTATAGCAAGGAAATGGAATTAAATTTCTGCATTTTCATTAAAATTTTGGATATCTAATAATAAACTTTTAAAAACTATAACATAATAACATAAAATAATATATTTTTGTCATAATACAATTTTTTTAAATCAAAACAAGCTGTAGTTGAGTCAAGTAAGTCTATAAATATCAACAAAGCCTGCTTAGTACTTTCGTCATCGTGAGCTCTCACATAACAGCAGTAATATGGCTTCAATATGCTAGTTTACTTTATGAAAAATATACATTATGAGATTATACCGATGTATAAGATTGAGCTATATTCTAGGCTTACAGACTGACACACCCACATTTTTTATAACTTCCATTATTTAATATGAATTATTATGTTTTTAGGTACTTCATTTTTATATGAAATATGGTATTTTCTATAAATTTTACAGGCATATTTGAAAGAGATCATAGATGTATATTTATAGTGTTATTTGATTTAGAAGAATTCATAGCATGATATACTTACCTTTTAGCTTTATTCTACTAAAATTGAGAGTATTTTCTCAGGTCTAAATGGTTAAAGAAACATTACAAAATATTAACTATTTATAGTTAACTAATGAACAATTTACAATCAATAAAAGACCAATAATGAACATAAGCACTTTCATATATATAAATTGGCATTTCATATATATAAATGGCAAATAAGAAATTAAGACTGAAAAGTTTTAGAAATGACCATTTTTCTTCTAAGAATGCCAAAAACACATACCACATCAAATAGTCCATCACTCCATTCTAATTTCTGTAATTCTACTACCGTTGTTCCTTCAGGGGATAATTCTAAGAAGAACAGAGTACCACCTCCAGCCAGGCCATAATATTGGCTTGTTGCAACTGCAAGGGCATCTGGTCTGGCACGAGAAAATCTTACACTGTAGCCATGACGGCCTGGTGTAAGAAATGTTGGCATACTGAGTGTGTAACTGAAAGTTAAATTTTAAGATTTGTCAATATTTTTAAAAATTACTGGATTTCATGAATAACTTCTTTTAAATTTTTAATACTGACTAATAGACAAAAGTCTAATTAGTACTGGAATATTCTGATTAAATACATCTCAATAAATTGTTTGAATATATTGTTTTAGAATAACTTGTAACTATATTCACATTAGGTTCACAAAAACTAATATTTATACAGAATGAAATAAAATGCTCTTCAAATATTAGAATATACATTTACATAAAACAAAACTTATGTATATAATAAAACTTATGTATATAATACAACATATAGACTAAATACAAAAACTATTTTTTGTAACTTACAGTTACATGTACAACATACATACGTACTGTAAATAAAGGATACTATAGGAACTCCTAAATCTTAATTAAAATTTTTATTATTTACTATATTTTTAATCTTATCATAAAACAATTTTTTATTTATTTTACAAGCTTTTACATTTAGATGTATAAAAACCTCTTACTCTTGCAAATCTATTCGAAATCAAATGACATTATTTTTTCATAGGCACTAGTTACTTATTGGCCACAAAAAAAATCTTTTTAGAATCCAATTAGGCAAGTTTTCATTTTATTAAATACTGTATTAGCTAAACACCACAACAAAACCCATTCATAAAAATCATAACCCTTTAAAACTGTCAAAACATAGCTTGACATTTCCTTGACCGGATATAAAAACATCGATAGTGTTGTGAGTACGCAATTTTATCGATTCGGTTACAAGTTACCAACACACGATTTTAATCCAATTTGCACTCCCACGGTCTAAATCCTATTAGATCATTCTACACTGAAGGAAACCTCACAGCTCGCATATATATATGAAGGAATATTGCAAACCATCGACATTTCTGGTGAGCGCTTCAAAACTCACACAATCCTAAACAATATTAATTCCTTTTAACTTTTTCTCCTGGCGCTTACTAAAATCGTTCAAAATGCTTGACTACCTGGCTTTGGCTTTTGTGGTCGCTGTAAAAGTTTTTAAGAAAACGACTCCTAATGGTAAAGTTACGGTTTACCTTGGCAAGCGGGACTTCATTGATCACATAGATTATTGCGATCCTATCGATGGAGTTGTCGTGGTTGACACCGAGTACCTGAAAGGAAGGAAAGTTTATAGCCAGGTATAATAGTGATGTGAAATATGTGTGGAGTGTATCCTGTGAGACAAAAAGTGCTTGAAATACTAATATTATTTTCTATATACAGCTGGTTACGACTTACCGGTTCGGTAGGGAGGAAGATGAGGTCATGGGAGTCAAATTCTCTAAGGAAATGGTCATTGGCCAAGAGCAAGTTGTACCAATGAATAACGGGAAAATGGAACTGACACCTGTCCAGGAAAAGCTGCTCAAGAAACTTGGACCTAATGCTTTCCCATTCACCTTCTCTTTCCCTGATATGTCACCCAGCTCGGTAATATGATTTGTAAAATATCCTAAGTGAACTATTTCAAAAATTTGAACAAATTCTGAATATACATGTTTTAACTACCTAGGTAACTCTTCAACCATCCGACGAGGACCAGGGAAAGCCTATGGGAGTAGAATACTGTGTACGAACTTATGTAGCCGACAATGAAGATGACAAGGGCCACAAGAGGAGCTCCGTTACTCTTGCCATCAAGAAGGTATTATAGAATTTATTTTTGAAATAATATAATGGCTAAACATAAAAATTTCTTTCAAATGCAATTTTCTGTGATGTTTTAGTTACAACATGCTCCAGCCTCCCGTGGACGACGCCTCCCTAGCTCCCTGGTCAGCAAGGGCTTCACTTTCAGCAACGGAAAGATCAGCCTAGAGGTGACTCTGGACAAGGAGATCTACTACCATGGCGAGAAGGTCGCAGCTAACATTATCGTCTCGAACAACTCCAGGAAATCTGTACGAAACATTCGTTGCATGGTCGTACAGCATGTTGAAATTACTATGATCAACTCGCAGTTCAGCCGCCACGTTGCATCTCTGGAAAGCCGTGAGGGATGCCCAGTTACACCTGGTGCAAGCCTTTCAAAGACCTTCTACCTGGTACCTTTGGCTCGTAGCAACAAGGACATCCGCGGTAAGAAAGATACCTTTTTAAATGATACCCTACCATAAAATAATTTTAATTATTTATTTTGATATAAAGTTATAAGATTAGATGTTGAAAAATAATAACAAAATATTCTTTAACAGGTGTTGCCTTGGATGGCCACTTGAAGGAAGATGATGTTAACCTTGCCAGCTCCACCTTGGTATCTGAGGGCAAGTGCCCTGCTGAGGCCATTGGTATTGTGGTATCATACTCGGTCCGTGTGAAACTGAACTGCGGAACTCTTGGAGGTGAACTCGTTACTGATGTACCATTCAAACTGCTGCACCCAGCTGAGGGTAAGTTAAAATAGAAAGAAATCCCTATGAAAATCAAATTATAAATTGTTTTATATTACCAAACATTAATATATTTACATATTTATATTTAGGCACCGCCGAACGCCAAAGATTCAACGCCATGAAGAAAATGCAATCCATTGAAAGACACCGCTATGAGAACTCGCTTTATACCAACGAGGAGGAAGACAACATTGTTTTCGAGGACTTCGCTCGTCTCAGGATGAACGAACCCGAATAAACTACACGACCTAGTCAACGTCGCAAACAAAAAAAAATTGAAAAAAAAATATAAAAAGCCAAAAAAACGTAATCAAGCAAGTTAATGACATCTAATTCACGAAACCGTGCACACCTATTGTATTTACCTAACCTTTCTTCATTCATTTAAAACCTAATAATTTGAATAAATCTTTCTTATAACCTAATATAATTTAACCAGCTATGGATAGTGTGAGTTTTACTATAGTCAATTCAAGAAGTAATTGAAGCAATAAATTAAAAATGTCCAAAAAAATATCATCAACATTTCATCATTCCTACTAACCTTATTCGTGTAAGCCTTTATATAAATTAATAAACAGCTACCACCAGATATCTTCTTTTATTTTTCTATATCCTTTAATGTGCCAAAAATATGAAATTTAAATTTCTTTCTCGATGTGACCACTATAACAACTTGTACTTAACTGATATTGTACTAAAACGGTATGCAAAGTAACCTATGATCTCTTTTGCATATCTTTTGTATTCTATTATATTCAAAGGGGTTTGATTTATCCCCACCTATTACAATCATATGTTTTGGATGGTCCTTGATTATGCAAAGGTGTAACTCTTTTACAAATACTGACCTGTATAAGTAAAGAACATTATGAAAAAACAACTGTTTATGATCAAAAATCATAAATTATGTTAATTTTAACAATTTCATAATCAGAAATTGTATATTATGTTAATTTTAGTAATTGATATACATATAATAATTATAACTAATACATACATTTCTATTTATATATATTTGACGACACGTTTGGCTCAGTTTGTAGTGACCCTACTTGCTGCGCCAGCGGTCGCGGGCTCAAGTCCCGCTGGGGGCATTCATTTGTGTGATGAACACGAATGTTTGTACTCTAGTCATGGGTGTTTATATTTATAATATGTATGTATTCAAAGTTATATATATATATATATATATATATATATATATATATATATATATATATATATAATGTATCAACTATCTGGTATCCATCAGACAAGCCTCGTAGCTTACCATGGAAATAGATGATGTTGTGTGTTAATGTCCTGACATATGACATGACATATATGACATATGATTTTTTCATGATATTGTACACAATTGGTCGTCCATCTTAAATTTGAATGTTAAAAAACGAATCAATATGCAGCAGCAACTTGGTGTCCACAAATAAAAATAAAATAAAACACGGTACCAAGAAACTCAAACAAAGAATTCAGATTTCAACGTAATGAAAATTAGATATTTTTTACATCTTAGCTGATAAAGACATACATACATTAATTACGGTCTACGGTTAGGGAAAAAAAATAGTTTAACTCTTAATACAACGATCTCTCACTCCTTTTTTCTCTTTTTTTGAATGGTGTACATACATCAACGATATTATAAAATTGGTGTTCTAATCAACTTGTACATCATTAGAGAAAAAGAAAATTAAATAAAAAATTAAATACTGTATCTGAATTTTTCATACATTACATTGATGTATTAATATTTAAATATTAACTATATAAATCAATTATTTCATTATATTTCACTTTTTAAGGTATGCTATCTAATACCAAATTTGCGATAGCGTGAAGCTATATATATAATTTTGCTGCAACAAACGACTTTACTCGTCATTACCTAATTAGATGAAAATACTAACGACAGAAAAAAAATATGAGAATTTTATATGACTTCATACTTAATTTTTTAATTTTAATTCACACGCAAATATTGTTTCCTATTGCATCCTTTTTTGTGGTAGTTAGGTAAATTTCAAAAAATCCTTTCTAGTGGTTATCGATAGGAATAAGCATAACTTGAAGGTCATCTATAGATACCTATAATAAAATTGTAACTTATTCCTGTTTGTACGTGGAAGATATTTAAAACATTATTATTGAGGGTCTTTATTATCGCAAATCCCAAAACAATAATTTTTAGATTTTTGTCTATTTGTCTGAGCGTTTGTACATGCTAATATCACAAACGGTTTAACCGATTTGGGAGCGGTTTTCACTAATGTACTGTAGTAAGCTAGTCCTTGTTTTATTTCAATCGGTTAATAAATAAAAACTTAAAAAAAACCGACTTCCAGGCACTAAAATGTAATAAATAACTAAACGGGTGTTTTTATTTAGCCCATGCAAATTAAATCTAATATATTTCGATACATAAAATATTATCATATTCAAATCTTAAAATATTGTCGGCTGCCATTCACTTCGAAAATATCTGATTAGGTATCTATTCTAAATGAAAACCCCCGCTTACTTATTTTTTACATTTTAGTGCCTGGAAGTACCTAGGTTTTTATTTTATCATTTTTAGTGTAGAGGTAATAAGCAGGTAATTTGTAACAAGAAAGTTTTTCAATAACAAATCTAATCGATTAAAAAATTTATAAAAAAAATTGTTGATTTTGTTAAAAACCGCTCCACCGATTTCGATAATATTTAAATGGGACCTGGGAAGTATACCCTTCGAATTTTTTTTTCCTAATCGGTTCAGGCGTCTTCAAGTAAGTAATCGTTGAACATACATTAAAAAAATATTCCGACGAATTCCGACCTTCTCCTATTTGGAAGTCGGTTAAAGAGTTATGTCAATTTAAAGAATCATCCGAAACGAACCTGAGCGAAGCGAGGATGAGTCGCTAGTTTATGTATAAAATCGACAAAAAATCGATTAGATCTTTAAGATGCGAAAACTCAAGAATTATATAGATGGAGCCCCTAGAAAGAGACAGCTAATATTTTTTTTCTATAATTATATTAAAATGAGCTTATTTTTTTCTATAATATTTTATAAAATTCGTTAGCTATTTTTATTTATTAACATTTATTTACGTTTGACAGTAATAGGAATTCTATAAATATTTGTGCAGTTTTAAAACATTGCACCTATATTATTTTAAACCATTACAGGCTTCATGTTCAGTTTTATCATAGTAAAAATATTTTCTAATGTAATCTTTAGTCTGAAATCATTTACAAAAATAAAAAAATGGCATTACATTTCTAAGACAATTTTCTCAGGCCAGAACTGGTCAAACGGGTTATGGACAAAAGAATTGGGCAAGGAAGATGTCCCTTTAACTTATTGCGAAAAGGGTTCGTCCAAAAACCTGTTCGACCACTTCCCTGTGGGAAAGGACAAATGACCCTTTATTTGCATGTTGCTGTACACAATACGTTTCGAGACACATTGCTCTTCCGAACGAATAAACATTAAATTAATTTCCATTTTTTTACTTATTTTTTTAAATATATATACGTAAATTTTATTTAAATATTTAATGTAATCAAGTACTTATAAAATATTTTTATTTTTTCACTGTTACATAAATATAAAATGAAAAATATATTCTTATATATTTTAAATAATTTATAAAATACTTTCGTTTGCTTACCTATATTTAATTAACTGTTATCAAGTTTTGATTAATACTTTTACCTTATCCAAAAATTGAGTTTCAACACATTTAATCATATAAATCTAATATCGAATTATTTCGATTCTTATTATTTCATGTCACTTTACGTATTGTTTGATCAAACAATGTGCCCCTAAAAACGAACAAGTGTATAAGGGACACCTTTGGCGATTCAAAAGACTGCGGGCGAATCTTTAGTCAAAACAAAATACTCAATGCAAAAAGTACTTTATCATATTGTAATAGCGTTCAAATTCAATAAATGAAAATTAGTAACAGTGTAGTTAGAAGTATTAATCGGGTATTAGCAAATTTAAACTTAATTAATGGGGAATAAGATTGAATTCAAAAACTTTATTGGCGGAAGAAAGCTATAGTGGACAAAATTCCCACGTAGTGAACTGGTCAAACTGGTTTGCGAAATGCAAGGGTGGACAAGGATATCCTTTGACCGTAAGGGATACGTGATAACGGTCGCCGTACAAGGATTACACGTTTTATGTGGGAACTTCGTACATCTTTTGTTAGTATACTGCAATTTTGTATGTCTGCTAGAATTAAATAATACGATTGTTGTTAGAAGTCGTTACAAATTGAATGTTTGTTTATTATCTTTAACAATCAATCTCAAATAGTTAATCTGTACAGTAACTATATTTTTTATGAAAATTCTTTAAAATATTTTGTTGTAAAACCCAATGGTAGCCCAACGCTTGTAAAACCAAGTATAGTTAATAATAATGTAGTTTTAAATTGGGGCACCTCTAAGATATTAATGTACAGATCATTTTCAACATGATAACCACTTGATAATACGATAAAAGAAAATATCGTAACCTGCTCGAAAAAGAACTGACTAGTTTTCAAAACCATGTAAAATTCGCCGATCCTCTTTGGGCAACATGGTCAAGTATCTATAGCCTAATTATTTCCTTACATTTACGCGAATATTTGATATTTTGAATAAAACTATCTTTTCAGATTATTTCGCGGATTTATTTTGATTTTTGGTTCTCGACAATTCGAATGCTTTACAGCAATCATGGTCACAGGAGAGACACTCTTCCGGGGTTCCGTGATACAGTATAGTCTGGAATAGCACATAGGCTACTTTTTATTTCGGAAAAATGTGGTTCCCGTGGGATAGATTTATTTTTGGTTTTTACTGAGCCGCTAGTTTATTATAATTCTAAGTATTTTTTTGGAAATTATAATGTAAATTTAATTCTTACTTTTGAGTTTTGTACAATCTTGCCGCTAATTTAATTGAATTAAGTACTTTAATCATTTTAAATCTAACATAAAAAATGTTTTAAAAATAATATTATTTTTAGAGAAGATCATAATATTTCAAACTGTATGAGTCAGTGCAAAGTTTTCAACAGACACCGTCCACGATTCACGAAATAACGTGATTACATCTTAAGTATTTATACTTAGAAATATAACTATTTTTTATTTCTTCTATTCAGAGGTGATGAAACGTCAATGTAAAGAATAATAATAGACTCATATTTCGCTCTCTGATCTTTTGCCACTTTTTGTCTCAGGCGCGTGCTTGCATTTAATTTGAATAGGGCGTCCTGTAGGGAGATGCAGTTAGCCCCTTGTATGGTCCGGCGGCAAAAAATATAAGCAAGTCTTATTAAAATATTTTGAAGAGATGTATTGTATGAGATACTAAAGTAATTGTGCAGTACAACCTATGTTAATATTATGAAAACGCTATATTTTTATATTATTTTAGTATCGGTTTTATTATTTTAGGTGAGCTTTAATAATTTAATGACTTATTAATATAATTATATTAATAACAGAAAAATCTGCTGAAAAATTGTAATTTACTCATAATATTTGAAGTAATATTTATTATAAATGCAATAAAAAAATAGATCTCGCAGGTATAAATAATTATTTAAGAGTGTCCCCGTTATCATCGTATCGTTCGCTACTCTCATGTAAGTAGCACATAAAATAAATAAGTCCAAGAGTGGATATTATTTTAATTGCTTTTAAATTTAAACCGACTGTTTGTTTTTACAATGCACCTAAAGACTATGGATTGAGATAGTATAACTCAATAATAAAATTATTCGTAGCTGAGAAAACATGCAAATGATGAAATGAACGAGAAATCTGTTGTCCAATTACATATCTAGTTATAGGCAAGATATGGGATTGGAGTGTAAATTTAAATTCATACAAAACTACTTTTTGCTAATAGTATAAACAAAACTGTACAATCTGATAATGTCTGATCAATCCACCGATAAAAAGAACCCGCATGCAAGAGAATGTAACTACATAATAGTTGACCGTTAGTACAGCGTTGTGGAGATACATCACTATTGTACTATAATTCATTTTTTGACTGTGGGAAAATATGTTACGTTTAAAATTGAATAAGTGTTTAAAATGAAATTAAATTACTTTACTAATATAATATTTGGTCATTTAAGTTTTTTGATTAAAATCAATTTTTTATTAGTTAGATAAAAAAAGCAGTCGTAAGGACTGCCGACAGAAGTAAAAACTTAAAAGTATAAAGAAATAATTGTTATATAAAAATCAGTTATTTTTGGATATTCAAATTAATTGTTTGATCTTAAATACTAATGATCATGACCAATTATAATAAAAAAAACATCCAAATGAATTAATAGAGCCCACACTCGAAGGTTTTACTAGTAGCCATTGAAGAGTTCCACTAGATAGGTACTTACTGGAAATATCATCAGAATGGTTCTATTATAAGATTGATTAAGTATCTCATTACATGTGAAGCTAATAAAAGCGTTTTATTAATATGTTTGTTGGCTTGATCTGCTTTCACGCAACACCATGTGAGGACATTTTTGTAATTTAACCCTTAAATTGCTAGTTTACTTTTTTAGGACGAAATAAGTAGTCAAAACATCTATGTACACATTAAGTACTAGTGTTTCCCCGCGGCTTCGCTCGCGTTGTAAGTGGACGGCAATCAAAGGCAGCTTATATCCGTCCTCAGGATGCAATTTATATCCTTGGCAAATTTCATCAAAATCTGTTCTGCGGTTTAACCGTGAAAAATCAACAGACAGATTACTTTGACATTTATAAGATTAGTAATTAATATACATTCTGCTGCTTCTCAATTTTGAATGATACATTAACTATTTCTTTCTCATTTAAAGGTTAAAATGGTCTTCTATTATGAGTATAGAAAAGAAATTGTAAAAAATAAGTGTACGAGATACATTATAAAATAATGATCTCGATCACGAAACCTACTTGTAATCTCTGAAGTGGTTTTATTTTCTGTTGACCTACTAAAATAGTTTTTCATTAAGATTAGATTCTTATGAAACTCGGGTGTCAACGTTTGCCTCACGGAAGTTAGTTTTGCATGAAATTATAAAACTTATTATCTCGCCATTTTGTTTAGAATAAGTACAGATTCTTATACTATTTTATAAAGCTGTTTATGTAACTTAAGTAATATTAATACTTCTTTTATTTTTTTTATGATCAATCTTTCTCTTAAGAGGTGATAAAAATATAAAACTATTCAGTCAAATAGGTATCATAATATGTAAACTATTCATTCAACATTCAAAGTGGCGAAATAAAAATACGAAAATAAGCAAGTGTCACTCCATACATAATAAAAAAAAATAATAGCGATGTTCGTCCGTAATCATTTTTTATAGATAACATTAAAGCTCGTTAACGGCTACTAAACAAAAAAAACGGTTGACAATCAGAAGAGAAAAAGGCACTGAACATTTTTGGCTTTGCCTATTTATAATATTATATATACATAATAATTATGTTTATGTGCAATTTTATGTAAATTATGAGCCTTTGTTATCCAAGATCTATAAAGACCAACGAACTTACAAATTTCTTTGAATCAAAGGATTTGACACCCACATATTAACTGTGTTTAACTAACTTGGATTGTAGATTAATAATTTTGAATGTTTATGTTTAAATTTAATTTAGCTAAAATGTTCTCTTGATGATGATATTATAAAATAATCTATTTATACAATAAAGATTCCCATCTCAAATATAATGCGGAAAATTAAAGAAACAGAAAGTTTAAATAAATAAAAATCTTTATTATAATTAACTTACATAAACTAAATTTAAATATAATTAATAATGAGGTACTGGTTGTAAGAAATATGCTTGGCCGGTAGTTCGATCTACTACATGACCTGTGGAAGGTTCTAGAAAAAGTCTAGGTACAGGTGCAGCTGTGGCAATTTCAGGTCTAATATGCTGCCTCACTTCAGCACCACCATCGTACGGTACAAACGTTTTCGGCTCTGTTTGTTGTTTAACCGGCTGTTCTTCTTCTTTATCCCTCTGATTAATAACTAAAACAACATTATTTTTTTCTCGGTCTAGTTGAATATCATCCAATCCCGATAAGTTCCGTTCCTTTAAACGTCTTTTAGGTTTCACTTTTCGGCGATTTACCGGTATTTCGGAAATTTCATCATCACTATCTTCCATTTTTATTTTAGGTTTGAAATCTCCTTTGTTCTGTGGCTTTTTTTGTTGTTCTTCTTGAATCTCATCACTTCTTGGTGTGGTTGTTTTGATTTTACCATGAGCTCTCTTTTTTCTTTCGCCCTCTTCGTAGTGACTTGTAATCTCTGGATTGTATTCAACTGTCTCATAATTTTGGCTTTGGTCATTTTCATCAGAACCATTGTATGTCTCATTCGGGTCTTCATGATAGGAACCGTCATCTGAATCATCATAACTGTCATGGTTTCCAGCATGGCCTGCATGGTTTAGGTCCCAATAGTGTTCTCCGTATCCGCCGTTTTTATCACCCCATCGTACCTAAAACATATGTACATATATTAATACTGTAATGAATGAACTAATGTTCATCACCAAAATTAAATTTGGAAAAAAAAATATTAAAAGATTTAAGGTAGTAATGTTAATAAATATGTTCATTTTACGCTATAACCTAATACGAGTATGACTGAGTATGTATAGATACATAAATAAAATTATTTGGTGTTATATTTAATTAAAAAATAAACTATCACGTCATCTGTTAATATCACTCTCACTAAAATATAGATAAGTTAATAATATTCCATTAAAACCTTATTTGATTACAAAACAGAAAATAGAATAAACAAAATATAGTCTACAAGACATAGATTAGTGAAATTAAAAGCATAAGCAGCGTACTTTAGCAGAAAACAGTCCTGTCGCTGGTCTGGACCTCTCGTGCCTTTCAACGAAATGTCGTTCACTGCCAAGCCGGTGCCCTTGGTCGAAGTCTTCGGATGTAGGCAAATGCCTATACCTTCAGCCAAGCCAAGCCAAGCGCGACAGAGAAAGAAACATAGAAATGTTAGGAAATAAAGCGAGATAGAAGATAAAAACAGTGGATACTTTTCCCATGTCCCTGTGGTTCTTAAAGTCTTTCTTCTCATACCGCTGCTCCCAAGTGGACGGGTCCTCGCATACATGACCGAACTCTATCTTGTACGGACTCAACTGTACTGAGAAAAAATCCCTATAAAGCAAATTTTTATCTCTTCATTTTTACGGTTTTAGTTTGAAACAGCTTACTGCAATATCACGAGCTAACGTAATATGATACATAAGTATTATTAAAATACATTGATTATTATAAGACCTTTTAACAGTTACGATAATACAATTATCGAAATAGAAAAGAATGTTAACAAAAATAACGTAAGGACAACGTATTCTTTCATATTTTTGAAAATCATCTCCTACTTCAAACAAACAAACAAATCTCTCTTACAAAATAAGGTGCAAAATAAATATTACTGTAAGGTAAATATTATAATACAGAAAAAATAAATAATACAGGAAAAAATCTTACTGGAAAAATTTCGCCTGCGCTTCAATAGTAGAAGGGCCCTTCGGAGGTGTGCGAACTGTCACACTGGTGACTGGGTTCAATATAGAGCCAGAATTCAATACAAAGAAACACCAAACCCATTTCTGAAAGAAATACACATTGTTACACTGTCTTATAAGAAACTAGCGGAAAACAAAATCAAATCTTTCGCACGGGAACCGTTCATTTTTCCGGAATAAAATTATAATAAAATATTCCAGACTATAATCTATCTCTGTGCTAAATTTCACTAAGATCCATTCAGCCGTTCCGGCATGGTTGAGTAATAAATATCCAAACATCTAAGCTTTCGCATGTATAATATTAGTAAGATAACGCTACACAATTTTCACCTTTTACTTTATTCTATGTGTCGGAAACGCGAAAAAAGTACAAATCATAAGGCCGAAAGAACAGGACTCTAACCTGCAGTCCTTAGCACAGTATTCTAAACAAATGGCAGAGTGCGATAGAACCATCAAATAAATTCTACTACTAAATTAACTTTCTTATTCTTAGTTTACAATAATAAAATCTAATAAGATTACTCGCTCACTAAGAATATAAAATTATTAGGATTATATTTTTTAAATTGGTCACTTTTCACTCTCACTTATTTCACTTAACGAGATATATTAATTTGAAGAGTCAAAGTATTTTACCGCAGTGTCAAATAGACGTTGAGACATCTTGAGAAGTTGTTTGTAGGTGAGACAGAATAGTGACCGTTAGAACATTTATAGCGACCAACAGTTGTAGCTGTAGCCGTCTTTTTGTACAAAACAATTGTTTTATCGAACTCTCGCAGGCTAGGCTTTTACAAATCGAAATCATGGATAACAATCATGAAGCCCAATGGAAATAGCTTTTTCTTTGACATTTCCCATAAAAATTATGTAGTCTGTATCATAGTAGAAACTATAATTAATTGTCCAATTTTATCCAAATTAGAAAATTTTCCAAATTAAAAATAAGAACCAATAGAGTGTAAACCATTGACAAATTATTTTCGAAATACTAGCTTTATTTTTGCAGCATAAACTATAAAAGGGTTAATGGATTTCTTATAAAATTGTTTTAACTTATTACAATATCTATTTTTGCAATGTGATTACCAAATCAACATTTCATCTTTCATTAATTGTGTCGAATTAAGAACAAAATAAGGCCTCAATCTATATATATAATAAAAGTGTAACTGATCGCTGTTTGTACATGGAAGATATTTGAGAAAAAAACTTTTTAACAAAAAAATAAAAACCGACTTCAAACAAAAGCACTAAAAAGTAACAAATAACTGATTGGTAGTTTTCATTTACTATACATACCTAATCAAATATTTTCGAAGTCGGTGTGCTTTGCTTTGTATGGGCTGGCACCGATTTCGAAAATATTTGATTAGGTATGTATTTAATAGGTAGGCTTTAATTACTTAGCCAAACATCATTAGTTGTTTTTCCACCCTTAGGGGTGGTATTTTTTTTTTGAAATTTAAATGGGACCAATCTGGAAGTACACCCTTTCAAACAAAACAAAAATTGTCCAAATCGGTTAATAAATGACGGAGTTCTGAGGTAACAAACATAACAAAAAAAAAAAAACATACAGTCGAATTGAGAACCTCCTCCTTTTTGAAGTCGGTTGAAAACTATTATTGGAGGTATTTATAACGCAATAGAACTCAAAACAATGATTTTTAGAATTTCTGTCTTTTTGTCTGCACGTTTGTGCGTGCTAAACTCAGAAACGGCGTATCCGATTTGGGTGCGGTTTTTACTAACGTGTTGTGGTAAGCTTCACTTAACATTTTGTGTATGTTTTATTTCAATCGGTTCATAAATAAAAAAAGTTATGTCAATTTAAAAAATCACCTAGGGACGAACCCGAGCAAAGCGAGGGTGAGTCTACACTATATCTGTCGATCTACTATTCTATATACTTATCGATCTTATAGATCAAAGTTTTATACAAGACAAAATGAGTGCATTCACTTCCCAGTTTATAACTATACTCTTTGGCATTCACGCTATCAGCAAGGGTCAAGTTCCGGTCGAATCACACTACAGCAATGTTTTTTGTATAAAAATACTTTGTCAGACCGATATCTGACTTAGAACGGATCTCGAACGTGGGTTGGCCTTTCTTCATATTTAATTTGCTTAAAGGTATTCAGAAAAATCGTTTTAATTAATGGTTATAATATAATGTTATTATAAGCATACGTTCAAAATCTAATGTCGGTTTTGAATATCAGTAAATCACTACATACAATCATCTACAGTTCTGATATAGCTTAAATAAAGGTAGCCTCTTTAAATGCGCAAGTACTATCAAGTGTATTTTTTTGCATTATGTTTTTACAATATTAATTGATTTTTAATTGTTTTTTAGAAGATATAATACACTCTACAATGTATTATATAGTATGTATTCAGCCCTTTTTAACGTCCTACTGCTGGGCACGGGCCTCCTTTCAAGTACAAGGGAAATCAGGCCATAGTTCACCACGCTGGCCAAGTGCAAAAGTGGTTGGCGGGCTTCACATGTCTTTTGAAAATTTGCTAGGTTACAAAAAATAGTTTACATATATTGGACTGCAGTTATCTATAATGTATTTGGAATAACTGAAAAATAATCAACTTTAAATAATAACAACAATACGATATCAAAATTCGAGAACTTATATAACATTCACTATTGTATAATAACAAAAACTCTCCGGTTTGTTTTCGAAAGCTATGGAAAAACAATTGAACTAATCATAGGCAGTTTCCTTTTAATTATCTATATTTACGTAATATCGTGTAATTACACTTCCTTCATTAAGTTGTGGCACACTGGGAAAAATCATTGCTCTACTTATTTAAAAAGACTTCCTTCATATCCAAAATTAATCAATACATTGTTGCCATCAATAAAATAACTTTTATAGCTCTGGATAGTTGCATTTTACTACACATTAAAATAATAATCTATATGTATAACTACTTATAAATAAAATTACTCCCAAAATACCTTCTTCTTCTTCTTCGTCGTGTACTTCATTGCTGAAGGTCGTGCTTGTCCTGGAATGTTTGCACCGATTTGTTGACTATCTTTCTCCACACCACTCTATCCTCGGCTTGTCTCAGGGCAGTCGGAATATTGAGTCCCGTTATATTTGAAATCTGGTCGGACCAGCGGGTAGGTGCTCGACCGCGTGATCTTTTGCCCTCAATCTTCCCTACTACAACCAGTTTATCCAGATTGTCTGGTTGTCTCCGGGCGATGTGACCAAAGTAACTTAGGACTCGTTGGTAGCATATAGTGGATAGTCTGGCAGTAATCTTCAGTTGGTCGAGAATAGACCTGTTGGTTCTTTTTGCTGTCCACGGTATACGCAACATTCTTCTGTAACACCACATTTCAAAAGTCTCGATCTTCTTTCGGTCAGCTGCACGGATTGACCATGATTCGGAACCGTACAGAAATATGGAGAACACCAAAGCTCGCACGAGTCTGGTCTTGGTGGTATTCTACACTTTCCTGTTTTGCCAGATTCTGGTTAACTTACTCATAGCTGCCTTGGCCATCTGCGTACGTCTCCGAATTTCTTTGTCACAGCCTCCCTGATTGCTTATAAGTGATCCCAGGTACACAAACTCATCTACAAATTCCAGGTCCGCCAGTTCTCCGGTTCGTGCAAAAGTTCCAGCTCGATCTACTACCATGATTTTCGTTTTTTTCTTATTAATGGAAAGACCGACCATCTCACTTGCACGCTCGACTCTTCTAAGTAACCCAAAATACCTATCAGGTACCAATTGTTAATAATTAAAAATATATTATGTATATTGGTACTCTCTAATCTATTAAATGGATGATTTGATTTTAACTTGAATTTTCGTGTGAAGGTTATAAAAATATATTGAATCGTGACTATGAAAATGTGTAATTATAATCGCGAGTGAACTCGACCACGTTAAGTTACCTACTCATTAGAAAATACTTCAGTGAAGTCCTACAAATTGTTTTAGCTTCATATAATTTTATGTTTTAACGCTGCTAAAATGAATGAAAATTTGTTTGTTACTTTCAAAAAATTACCTTATAACAATCTTATTAGAACTTTATTTGATTTTAATCTATACATATAATAAAATTGTAACTGATCGCTGTCTGTACATGGAAGAAATTTGAGAAAAACTATGATGGTATTTAACAACGCAATAGAACCCAAAACAATAATTTTTAGAATGTCTGTTTTTTTGTCTGTGCGTTTGTGCGCGCTAATCTCAGAAACGGCTTAACCGATTTGAGTGCGGTTTTCACTATTGTATTGTGTTAAACTTCACTTAACATTTAGTATTGTATGCTGTTTTATTTCAATCGATTCATTAAAAAAAAGTTATGTCAATTAAAAGAATCAAAACAAATTTAAGGAGACCTTAAGATATTTTATTATTAATTTATTATTATTTAAGTGCAATAACAACTTTAGAGTCAAAAAAAGTTCTGTTCCACAGCGCCTTTCCGCCAACAACCAGTGTCGCGTAAAGTCTTCATTAACGATTATCTCAATTTAAATAGGATGTTTTCTTTTTATGGAATTTATTTATCCATGACGGACAATGATCTGTTAAATCTATCCGTTCTTAAGGGATCATACATGAATTTAAACTAAATAACATACTTCTACGCCAATTTCTCTCCTCTTCCTGTAGATACGCTGCACTCGGCTATATTATTATATAGGTATAGGATAGGCCTTTGGCCGTTCATGCCAAATCGACGGATTGTGCCCCGGCTCGGCACTTCAAGGGAAGCGCAAAGATGTAATTTTTAAACACTATACTGTTTGTATGTCCTAATCGGTTTTAACTGAAGGAAAAAAAAGTTATTTTGTTCATATGAAGCAATAAGTAAAACCTATATACATAACTAGACAAATCAACGGGGAACATATAGTTAGTACGTAAATAAAATTATATAGAGAAAGCTTACATATCCCTAATAAGAATAAACTATTAAATCTGATTAATTAAAGTAATACGATACAAATACATATGAGAAAAATGTAATGATTAAGTAAACATTATGAATTGAATAGCTTCGGCAAAGGTAGAATTTTTAGTTCCTTACTTTCCTACTTACGACACTGAACTTAGAAAGTGATCGTTGAAAGTGTTCTATTAATAGGGATTGTTCTTATCTGCTGGAGCGCAGTTCCGATACGGAAACATACAATTTTATTGTAATTCATACTTTGACTGGAAATTCATATTTTAATTTTTTAAATCCAGAATTTCGTAGTGTTAATATTAAATTAAACAAGTTTTAACAGATAGATAATAAATATAAATATGTTGGGACATTAACACACAGCACCATCTAGATAGATAGATGCTTTATTGTACACCACAAATAAATATACAAAAAGAAGATATAAACAATAGATGATGCACAGCAGGCGGCCTTATCGCTATAAGCGATCTCTTCCAGGCAACCTTGGGGCGTAGGAGAAATTATATGAAATGGTAGGCGGTGTACTTACTACACACAATTGCATATCCTAAATACAGATATACATACATACATACATACATACATACATACATATATACATACATACATAAATGCATACATACAATGTTTCTAATCTAGTAGCTTACCATGAAGCTACGAGGCTTGTGTTATGGATACTAGATAG